AAGAGCGAAGAGAGAAAAGTAACATGTAGGAGATCAGGAGGAAGAAGAGTAAGAAGAAAGGTAGGAAGGGAGCAGAGAGGGGAGGAGGATAAGAGAGCGACGGACAAGAAGCGAAAGAGGAAGAAAAGAGACGGAGGGAAAGGTAGAGACGCAGTGGAACAGGTAAAACAAAAAGTCGGGAAAAAATTGAAACCAGTCTCGGTCGGTTGGTAGTTTGGAGTCTAGCAGACTGCGGGAGCGGACTCGCTGCTCTCTTCTCCTTTTCCACCACCATCGCTATCAGTAACCACCACCACCAATGTGTTCGGCAACGACTTACGGTAACAACGGCAGCGGCTGCAGCACCACCACCACTACCAACTCGCTTGGCTACCATCGCCAACACCTCCTTTTCCTCCTCCTCCTCCTACACCTCTTTCCCTTTCCGCTTCTCTGTTTCTCTCGGTCCACGTCCTTCCTTAATTCAGTCCAATGAGAGTCGCTCTTCGATTCGTCGCACCCGTCATAGATCCGCTCGTCTTCATTTTCAGGATACTTTTTCTTCTCCACCTTCCTTCGGTTCGGTGGAATCGTCTGGTTCGCCAGTAGTGTGTACCGCGCTGCCTCGAGCTCTTGCGACGCATCGATTCCGAGATCGGAATATTACGAACCGGTCGGTCCGCGCGAATACGCGACCAACCACGGACAAACATCGTGCTCAGAGAAAGTGTCAGCTAGTGCGAGCAAGAGTGGGCCGTACGAACGGATAAGATCGATAGATCGTGTTGTTCTCTGGAAACACCGAGGATCCGACGCGAAAAGCCAAAACATTGCGAGTTGCTAGTTGCTGAAGAAAATACGCTGTTCTTACGTTAAGAAGGATACGTTTGACGGAGAGAACATGTTTCGTACCAGTCGCAACGCGAACCGGTTGCGCGTGCTTAAAATAGTTACCCGTGCATAGGTTACCGCTCTACCCACCGCTTGCTCGTTGGAATACGTTTCAGCATTGTCAGGTAAAAGCATACTGGCGAATCTCTGTTTCTGTGGATCTTGCAGCGATGAAAAATAGGAAAGAAAAAAGTATCGACGCTCGTGTTGTTTGTCGTAGCCGTGAGGCTTGGCGCCATGGATCTACTCGCGCAGTTACTATGATTCAAATAGCTTCGATCATCCGACGTGTTGCGGTGATATCGAGTCGATCTTGTCGCGGTTTCGCTATTCTATAAAATTAGCGAGACGCTTGCTTCACCGAGTATGCTCGATTCTATATACATATTTCGTTGCCACGCGATATCGGATTCTTGCGAAACGTTTATCTTGGCCGCGTGCACGCATTTATAGTCGGCCATTTCACGATCGATCGAGTCCCCCTTTTCTATTGCTTCTTAGAACGAGGAAGAAACGACAGGTTAAAAGCATCGATACGAACAGAGCAGCCTTTGGTCCGATGAGATCTTGCATACGTTGCGCGTTCTTCAAGATTCTTAAAAAAAAGAAAAAAAAATCAGCCGAGAAATTCCTGCTAAAAGACGAAACACGTGAAAACCGTTTAAACGCGAAGCAACTGTACCGATAAAGACGAAGATGTTCGTGAATTTTTCAACGAAACTGCTATTAACGTACGGTATTTAGAAAACATAGAAAATTACGCTTCTTTCTAGAAATACTCGCGCGGTTTGAATCGATTGTTGATCCATCCGTATGCTATTCGTCGCCTCTTATTGGATATGCGTTTTCGCGGCAGCGACAACGCCAGACAAGTCAAAGAACTGCGAAAGAAAGAGAGGAACGGTGCAAGCAGAGCGAAAAGAAAGAAGCGAGAAGGAAGCAGAAAGGAAAGAGAAAGAAGAAGCTCGTGCTACGCCATTCGCGATCATTTCGATACAACTGCTACCGAAATAAAGAACCGTACGAAGAAATAGAAATTTGAATGGCGATGCGAACGCTACGATACCTTCCACGAAGGCGATTGCTGTTTGTTATTGAAGTTATTCCATTGCCTCGGGCCAGAACAAGGCGAGGCTGTAAGCACGTCTGTCCCTGAATGACGAACGTTTACATTTCAATACAGTTGGAATTTTTCTAAAATTGTTCAGTCTCTAGTCGCGATGCGCGCGGTGCCTCCATCGTGATTCCTTCGTTGCATAGGACATCCACGGCATTTCAATTAGCCACTTCGACGAATAAAATTTGCAGCCGTTTCTCCACGGTTTATCGGTGTATTTACAATCGAGCAAAAGCAACGAGCAGGACGAGGATTTTTTTCTTCCAATATAATGTACGCGGAATATTTCCGAAGGCTACTGTAACGTATTTCACGTTGCTCTGTTGACGAGTGCCACGGACACTCGATCTTTCGTTAAAACAATTTAATCAAACTTCTTAATCGCATTGTTCACCGTGGCAATAAAATGCTTCGTAAGTCGAAATTAGTCGCGCTTTTCCGTTAGTTCGATATTCCATTACGATGTACTTTCCCGAATTCCAAGAACGCCAGGTATTTGCGCATTAAGTATCGTATATGTGTACAGTTGTGCAAAGCAATCAACATCCAAAGTGAATATTTACGCAAAGGCAACTCGTAATGGACACGCTGAGGAAAGGAATTTCTCGAAAGATCTATCTATATATATTTGTTATGAGCCTGTAGAATCAGCGAGCCATTCCATTCGGTGTTCCGACTCAGAAGAAAGCTCAGGTTTTAACGAAGTGGCATTTGTCAAAAGTAGTGCGACGTTACTCGAATCGTCAGGCAACGATCAAATAACCGAAAGGAGTCGTCATAAAACCGCTCCTTTCGATATTCATTTACAACTGCTACCTTTCGAACATTAAAGTGGGGGGTCCTATATGAAAAAGAATGCTTTAATATCCATCCTGTTACTCGGTTAAAGTTCGTTTCACCAAGACGATCACCGTCGAAGGATCGCGTACGGATATACAGTGAAATTGAGGAATTCGTGAGGAAATCTATCGTGTAATATCGAACGTGTCTTTCGAATACGTTTGTCAACACGGCAAGGAAATTCGTAGCTTGCGAAGAATCTCTTGCACGTAAATAATGATATTAGCGAAGTGTTGAAACTGGAAACTCGTAAACAGCGACAGTAGCCAGGTAATTCTCGAATTAAACGCAATTTTTCTCGGATCCATGCATGTAATAGGTCGTTGGAATGAAATTCCTTTCCGATAATAATTCACTTGAAACATCGTAGGACGTGATTATGCAGAATATAAATAGCTACTTAATTGGGGTCTTTGAAAGCTATAATTATTACGCGTGCAATCATTTTGCATCGAATTATCGGGCATTGCGTCTTTGCAATCATTCCTTCGCTCCTTCTATCTCGCAGAATCACGTACTCGATACGCTAGCTTTTTGGTCTTGCTACGTATTTCGTATACCGTACTTTTCGTTAACGTGTAATTAATTACCATACGCGCTTGGTTAATATCATTATTTGCATATTTAAGAATGAAAGTTATCGATTGATAAATCTTCATGAATGAGAGAAAATCAGTTTTAAATATACAAATAAACTTGAATATAGGGTAGCATCGATCAATGGATTCCCATGGATGATTTTAATCGTTTACTGGAAGGAAGGATAGGTGTTTCAGAAACACTGAAGATTAAAAGTTCGTTGTTTCGGCACACGACCCCCTCTTAATGACATCCTGACTCACGTTCATGAATATTCTTAATAACCTTAATCGAGCTTCATGGTCGTAATCAACATACGCGATTCACGGTCCACCGTAGACTTGATAGTAGATGCGTGTGTTCTTGCTCCTTCGCGATGTTACATCATTAGAAGGAAGTGGCGCCAATTTATCGCTTTTTTAATTGATCTCGATAACCTTCTTACAGTACATGTAAACTTGATACCGCTGTTCCTATCGCTATGTACATTAGAAGTTTGACCTCGGAACGTGTTTTATTTCGTTCGATCGACGCAAAGATCCGCCAAGCGCAAAGGAAAAGTTTCGCCTACCGTTGAAACCAGTTGAGCCAGTGTGATATTAATGTCCGCCGATGTACTGTTTTTTTTAGAACACGATGATGAGTTGGAGCAGAACGCTAGTCGTCGCTATCATTGAAATTTCATTTCTGTCGGCAATCATCAAACACTGCGAAGGATGCAACGAAGCGATTTGCGCCAGTGTTGTCAGTAAGTGTATGCTTACGCAGAGCTGCAAATGCGATCTCGTTACATGTACCTGCTGCAAGGAGTGTTTCTCTTGTCTTAGTTACCTTTACGACGAGTGCTGTTCATGCGTAGGTAAGCCGTCGCTTCTATTTCCTACGGTTCTCTATGTTCGCGAACGAACGTTACGAATCACAAGTATATCTGCTGCGTTTCTTAATCGTACATCTCGTTGTCTGTAGATCTATGTCCAAAACCAAACATAACGGACAATCCATTAAGCAAGAAGTCTCACGTGGAGGACTTTAGCGAACCGATGCCAGGCTTGTTCCAAGCGTTAACTGCAGAACCGGATCCACACGAACGTTGGCTCACGTTCACATTTCCGGTGGATTTCGACATGTCTTTATTTACACCAAAACACGACAAAGAAATGAAATACCATATGCGTATGTATTTATACTTCCCTTCTTTGTTGTTGTTGTAAAGATACGTTTACATGAAATCCGTTCAGACGAAGAAATTTGTGGTCCTTTCAGATACCGCTGACGAACAGATACATCCATTGAAACCAAACGTAATGACAGTGAATTGCACCGTTGCATTTATGGCTCAATGTAACTCCTGGAACAAATGTCGGGCGTCTTGCCAAAGCATGGGTGCTACAAGTTACAGATGGTTTCACGATGGTTGTTGCGAATGTATAGGAGACACTTGTATTAATTATGGAATAAACGAATCCAGATGCATACATTGTCCTTTGGACAAAGAAGAGGACGACTTAAAAGATCAGTACGACGATTACGGCCAAGACGAAGATGATTTGGTGGAAGATGAGATCGATTAATATTATCGGTACTTTCTTCAGCCTGCTTCTTTCAGTGGACTGTATGTATTAAAATGTATAAAAATTAAAAATGTCATGGGTGAGTGCAATCTCAGTGACGATGATACTTTCAAGAATTGAATTACAAACAGTGACGTCGTTTGTACTTGTTTGTGATACTCATCGTTTCGACATTATGTGAAAATTAACTTTACGACTGACGATTATCTCGTCCTTTTAGAACGATTTTCTACAAAATATGCGATAAGTGATGGACATCGTTCCCTTTAAAAGGGATCCGTTCGTTAGTAAATATAATTTAAATCATTATGTTCTGTAAGGCTGAAAGCTATCGATTGTCGATACATCTAATGGTATCGCGTTTGGATTTAATTAAGCAAACGCAAGAAAACAACAAACAAATTTAATGATGTTTCGAACTGATTGGCTTATGGTGTGACTTCAACGGCATAGCATGTAGTCTCATTCCTCATTCTTAAATGTTAAATATGCATATAAGTAACTCTGTGGTGTCAAATGTTTTATTTTTTCTGTGCCATATGAATCAAGTTGTACATGTATCGACTCATTCATAATTAATTGACGCATATCCGATGCGTCAATTATTCAAATAAAACCTATTGTCTGTGTTCCTCTAATGTTTACTTTTCTATATTTTAAAATGTTTTAACCAATATTATGACGATAAGAAGTTCTATGACTATACGATATTAACAAGATGACAGAAGTTACGTACGTTAGAAGAGCAGAGACGACTAATTTTGACCAATGTTATGACGATAAGAAGTTTTATGACTATAACTATGATATTAACAAGATGACAGAGGTTACGCACGTTAGAGGAGCAGAGACGATCTGTACGATTGATGATATTATGCACACGCGAATAATTAAATTGTAGAAAATATAATTTATACTATATGGTTTAATACTGCATTTGGTTATACCAATGTATGATATTAAGACAGTTTAAGGGATCGAGTAGGAAAAAATGTTCAAGTTTTCAATTTCCAATTCATGTGGTTATATGTAATATAAATAACAACATATTAGCATAATATTGATACTAAAAATTGGAGATTCCATTAAAGTTTTAACATATTGAACTAAGAGCGGAACTCGGAAATGAAATTATATTGGAAAGATACCGATGAGCAATTTTTCCTTGAAAACTATTGATAGACTAGACAGAGAAAACGGAGCCAATATCAAATGATCGTCCATAAATAAACTAGCGCAGACAATCAAAAATCTTACAATCAATTTTTATAAACAATTCTATTTCGAATATATTTCATTCTTTGAACGATTATGTACCGATTTATCGCGCAATATATTGTACAAACACATCCATTCAATTCTAGTTTATATTGAACATCGAATGCCGCGTTTTACGCGTATTTTCAACAATCACATACATTAATTCATATACGCATTATTAACGCGCGTTACTGCATTGCGGTTATAAATACAACAAAAGTTGCAGCACTTGAAAGAAAAACACGAAACATGTTTACATACCACGTATTTATACAGGCGGATGTTCGTCTTGCGTTTCATTGCTTTCTGGCAATTTAATGAAAGGCAAATCACTGCCACTCCACATAGAATATAATTGAGATCTCGCGCATTCCTGAAATTATTAATGTTACTAATGTTATTAAATATTCGATAATCGTTTATGGATCGAAGCTAATATACAGGAACCACAAGTAATAATAATAGCAACAATTGTTTTAAACTGTAATCATGCATTACCCCACCACCCGCGCTCTCGGAACCTGACCGACTATAGGCTGATATGCAAGAATCCGTCGAAGAACTGCTCTTACGTAATGGTAGTGTATCTACGGTACCTAATGGGAAAGTCAAACGTTATACGTGATTGACTTTATTCATTGCACTTAACGCGTATACTTACCAAATTCGATTTCTCTATGATCACTGTGCGAATGAATGCTATCTTTGCTATCTCGGTGACTACCACTAGTTCCACTTTGTTCTGCACAGCGTACAATAAATAATTTATTGCAATTAATAATGACGAATAAATTTTAATATACATCAAATCTCTACCCGAATCTCTGTGTTCTCCACTATGTGCACTCTCATCACTTTCGCGATGTCCTGATTGATCAGAATGGTCACTTGAATGGGAACTGCGTGGCCAATACCTTGGGAAACCACTTTTGCGAGATGCTGGCCACATAATAGAATCGTAGTTTGACCCAAAATTGCACGCTGTTAATGTAACACCTGGGATATGCTGATTTGTGTAAGCAATTAATTTATTTAGTGGCCTAATTCCTATATAAATATTAAAATAATTCGAGATTGTAATAAATCGTTATAACCGACAACGTTTTCTTTCTCTTGTACATACCTGGTTTACAAGATAACAATTGAATTGCCTCCTGCAAGCCATCGTGACTAGCCATAGTAGATGCTTTCCATATTGCATCTGGTGTGGTAGATCTACTTCTGTTTTGATGAGGTATTCTTAATTGCGACATAATATCTTGTCGCGGCCAGCCTGTGATGTTTTTACAATCCCATGGCATAGACCATCTTCTCATAGTATTTCCTAATACTCCACCCGACATTTCCACGGCTGCGGTTTCGGACCATCTCCTCTGAACCTATTGTATAAATGTTACGATACAAACACTATATAATATTAGGAAAAAAAGAAAGTCACAAAAGAGCTGCAAAGTTTGTACCTGCAGAGGAAATAAGGGATATGGTAAAGGTGATCTACGAAAATTTTGTACAGATTGTTGCATCGACGACGAAGATACTAGTGGTTGCGAACTGTACAGTCTTTCAAAACATTGTTGAAGAGAGGCAATATCACATTCAGTTGTACCACTCTGAGAACAGGAGCATTCTGCCATTCCCCCTAAAAAATAATTTCCTAAATCACATTGAAGTAAATAAAAAATTAAATAAGATTTAATTTAATTCTCACCTAAGCATTCGCAACAAGCAACGCAGAATTGATACTGTAGATTTATGAATGACAATAAATTATCTCTAAGTATGTCCTGAAAATCATGTTGCTTAATATAAAAATCTGTCGTATACAAATTTTTTATGAGATAAGATAACTCAAAATAAATATGTACATGCTTATGCCCTTCATTCTCTCGAGTTTCATGATCCCTTAATGCAGAAATAATATGATTTCTCACAGTATTGCTGGCTATGCATGTTGCTCTTGTAAGCTCCTCCCAACCGGCAAGACACTGTCCTGTTAACCTGCATTGTGTTAACGTATCATGAGCTGACAAAAGCGTTTGTAATGATTGAGCCAATTTTGTACCCGCTGTGCACAGGCCATTAAGCGTCTGTATTAAAGAAAGTAATTTGTTTTTGCGTACTTTAACATGAAACTCATAAAAAGTACACTAACCTGTAAGTACACTAGCCAATTACCAAGACACTCATTTATCTCCAATTGAAATTTAGATACCTGAATGTTACCGTGCTTTGGTTTTATTCCACCTTCTGCCATACTTACATCCTATTAAGTTTTATACTTGTATTAGCAAGTTTAATCACCTATTAATATAATAAAATGTAAAATCTATGATTTTATCTTTGTTGCTAGAGATTATCTTTAAAATCTTACTAAAAACTAATGTTTACATGATGTAAGACATTCGAAATATAGTAATTATTCAACAAGAATGAGAGATAGAATAATAATAAACACAGTAATGGTAATGTTTTGAAATGATAATTTTATTGTAATAGAAAGGACTGTAAGAATTAAAACGATAACGATTTTACAACAAAAAGTTTTTCAAATCGATCACTTACATGCTTTTTCCGTTAGACGGTGTATTATCAATACTAGATTAGTAGAAGATATACAAATCACAAATTTGACGGTGGTATTGAAGCACAGTTACCGGCACCATTGTGAGCTGCCTCGTGCATACCTCATCATTTGGATTCAGCGATATAAAAACCGAAATACGGTTACACTCATCTGTAGTTGTATTTTTCAACAAAACATTTAATACGAAATAACTTGACTAGATGCCGCCATTTGTACTCGTTCCGTACGAAGGATCGAACAACCTCCTAAACCTAGGGAACGTAGTGAATTTAGTGACGCGCAACCTACAAAATTTTCTAATGAAAAGTTTAAATCATTTTTGTAATGTTATTTCATTCTTATTATCACCTATTTCCATTTGTATACCTACAATATATTTTTTATAAGAAATGTTATATTTATGTACCATTGAAATAATGAAACATACTGCGAGTAATAATGTCGAATTTTTATATTATATGCTATAGTAAAACATTTCTATAAAAATAATGACAATGATTATGAAAAAAATATAAAAGTTTTTACTAATATTGACATGATAGTGACATGAGATAATTCTGGTATAGTTAGTTAAGATGTTAACTGGAAAAGTTTTTGGACACCACTATCGTAAATCAAACTTGGTTCAAGGCAGTTCGAACAGGTAGTATCATGTTTTTAGCACACACTTTCTATACTTATTAATTTTTTATTCTGTTTTTATTAATACACTAATTTTCGTTATATGTAACAGAAAACTCTTATTTTGTTTTTACGTTACGAAAATAATTTGAATAAATCATTAAACAAATGTAAAGAAATAGAACAAGTTAATTACTTGATATGCCAATACCTAACAATATGCGAATTGAAATTATATACATATATTAAATGGTTGTTAAGGCAGCATACAATTTTTATAAAGAAAAAGTCGAAGGATTCTCAAGTATTATTTTTCAACGTTCAATCACATCACGTAAGTCTATGTAAACTTTCTTAAATCCTGTTGCTTATTTTCTTACTGATCATCCAAATTATGCATTATGTCTTTCATTTATTTGAGAAATCGAGAGAAGACACGACGCTTGGCGAGGTGAAAGGGGCCCGAGCGTGTGGTGACGTAGACGTTGATAAAAAAAGAAAAGGATAGAGCAATGGGTCAGAAGGAAGGCGAAAGAAGGAAAGGAAGAGGTGAGAAAGGTTGCAAGGAGAGAAGCCGATCGGAGTGGAAACGCGATCGCGCGCGAGGGACATCGTGACTTAGGTGGGGAGGGTGATGTGGTAAGAAGGATAGAAGGGAGGGGTTTAACGGTAAAGTTGGTGTAACAGTGTAATATTATAGCCGTGTTTTTCGATCCTCTTTTCCTTACTACTACCCTGATGTTCGAATGAATACCCTTTTGCGGTCTCCCGATCTTTACACTGGGGTGTTTCTTAATGTATGGGAACTACCGTCGGTGATAAATAATAGAACTTGGAATCTAGGAAACAATGAAATCCATTTAAACGCGTGTCCGAAAGCACCTGCTTTTGGACTCGTAAATTTATCTTACTTCTAAAAGAAGCATTCATTATATGTAAATGACTACTCTAAAATTGGACATAACCGATTGATATTATTTTACTTTCGTTTTCTTAGTATATGGCACCGTTTACGTTTGCAACAGCATTGCTGTGTGGAGGGAGGAAGGATAAAAAGAGAAAAGTCGAGGGAAGAAAGAATGAATGGTACATTATATGTATATAATGCTTGTACATGTCAATGTAAACATAATTCAGACAATAGAATTAACAGGAAGGTAACTATATTCTATATTCTTGTGAATTTTTTAATTATGTAGTTCTAATTAATGAACAGGAATAATACGCCGAGCATCGTTCGACAATTTGAGGATGAAAAGTAATTATTTACAGTAATTTCAGATTCATTTCATCGCTAGTAATTTCTGTTCGCGGTTTCTCGAAAGGAGCGAGTCGTAAGATCGTGGGCAGCTAAGACAGGGTTTGATGATTTCTGGCAACACTTGCCAATTTTGGTAAAGTACGATTTTACCCGAGCAATATTAAAAAATGTCGTTTTACAATCTGATTCGCATATTGACGAAGTTAACTATCACAATATGTTGATCCTACACGCGTCAGCTACGCACACGGAAGCAATTACTTCTGAATCAAATCGTTACTCTTACGGAACTATCCCACTAATACATAACTTTTATAATCATGCGCAGGTAAAAGTCGTTGTAGCTGCTCGATCATGCGTTGGCTGCTTCACCTTGGAAACGTTATAGATATGAATAAATGTACAAGTACACAGTCCAATAAAAGTACATAATTGACAATCGCAGGCAAGCCGGTATTCCTCTCGATCTTGAAGAATAAGTATCAAAGGTGCACAGTGCACATACAAGAATTATCCATGTAAGATGAACAATTCAAACTTTGTATGACACTTAGGTTTATACTATATGCAAGGTGTGGATCGTAAAGCGAAAAGTTGAGAGGAACATAGTTCCATAGAGCATAGGTTCCTTTACAGTAGTCAGTTGGATGCACGGTGCATGCAGCACAGTACACTGTACTTTCATAATGTCGAAGGAGTACAAGAGACTCGAAGCCTCTGGCACTCGACGGACAGCTAGTGAAGGGAACGGATCGTCATACTCGGTCGTCATTCGACCAAACGGTCAGCGAAAATGCCGTCGAGAAGTTGCGTTTAACGGTGTTCGGTTAAACGTGAACTAAATTTGCCGCGAATGAACCGAAGTCGTAGTGTGATCTTCGAATTGTATTCTCCGAACGTAATCGTTTTTCCGCCGATTTCCGCCCCGTATTGGTAACCGAAGAAATGACACTAATACCGAGAATATGAAGAACCGAAAATAAAGTTATGGCCAAATATGGAATACGGCGAATAATTCCGTGCAGTGCGAATAACAGTTAAACAAACTTAACGAAACCATGGAAGAACAATTATTTGATCTGCGGATCGCATACGGTGACTAAAAACCTGCTTATTGAACGGTAAAACAGGAAGAATCTTCTGAGTCACCTTTGAACTATACTTTGGCGCGAGTTCGATAGTAGCGTTGCTGTTTAATTTTTGTGAATTAAAGAACAAGCATATTTTGTTATCGAAACTAGTTTTCATCGGTGCCACGCATCGAACAAAGAAACTTCTTGTGAAAGTTTCCGTGGTGCACGATAAAGTGTTCTCTTGTAGCGTATACTCGTACTTGTGAATGATCGCGACCAAAGTTAGTGCACTTTCGATGTGATCCCGGCTTTTATCCACAGCAGAAAACGATATATCGAGGATGGGACGAGAAATTCTCCTATCCCTTTTGGGAATCCTCGTTGTGGGCGCAGAAGGCAAGTATTTTTAACATAAGTTAATCGATATTATAACATAACATTTCAGTAACAATTTCTGTATAATGGCCAATGTAAAGACTGTTTAATCTGCATGAAGTAACCTTCGATGTTAGTTATTCAAGTTATTTTTAATTTTAATCATTTGGAATCAAACGTTCGTTTCCTTTTGACCGAAAAACACATTTTGCAGTAGGACGTGCGATTCGATGTATCTTGAAGTTCATTGAACCACGAAGAACCGATAAGAAAGGAGCGCTGATCAGCCGTTTCAAAATTTGAAATTCAGCGACTATATGATATTTTCCATCTGTTCTCGAGTTTTGTCCCTGGCACTAAAGAAAGGAATACAAGCGTACAAAACAGGTACCGCCCACTCGATTCTCGTCCACGCGGATTTTCTGGTGTCTCGAGGTCACCCGGTGTATCCGCCTCGTATAAAACGTACAGGTTCCTACCGCGTCGTGTTTTGTTTTCCTGAAACCTTGCGAATTTTTCATACAGGTTTTTAATTACAGCCATCACTTTGCCCACAGATAGTTAACGATAAAAATAGTGTACGGTGCTACCTTGAAACGCTTCGTTCCAACAGCAGATGCGATTCGTAAAATCAGCGGACCATTTAAAAATATTCATCGAACAAGCCGGTCGGAAACAGGACGAATTTGCATTCGTTTTCCTGTCTGGTCAACCCTATGCCAATTCCAAGCAATTTCGTATTAAAATTACGCGTTCTCCGCGATCCATTTTTTTATTCTATTCGATTAAATTTAATGTGAACGAGTCTGGTCGCGCAACGTAAGAAACAAGACTCGTTGTGGAGGCAGTCAATCGAAGCGAGTTTTGCCTTTTGTAACTCATTCTCCTGGTTGACCTACATGAAACATCTATGTAGCTAGACATTACACCTCTGGTGTGCGCATATTAACGGCTCTATAATATCACTATGCACGACAATTTTTCGAGAACTACTTGTAATATATCATTAGCTCTACAAGAAACACGTGTGCTAACAGCGAGAACTTTTTTAACGTACCGTCTTCTTTCTGTCATTTCATTTTACCGTACGGCACGAGGCACCCAAGACACTTTCGATTCGAATTTGTACTTGAATTAGACGCGGCAAAGGCCTCGTAAATGTTGAGCCGCTCGGTCCGTTTTTCGTCATCGGCAAGTACCTAAAACAGAAATATTTTCGTCGCGGGTAGCGTTCACGCGAACTTTCATTTGCGCAAACAAGAACGCATAAGAAGGACGTAATCTTTGTCAATCTTACAGACTTCTTCCACTTTCTCGTTTCTTCGCTCTAAGTGTTTCCTCGATAAAAATTTGTCCCGATTAAGAATTTTCTTTAGGCGTTCCAAATCTGCGATTAAAACGAGACAAGCTATAAAAACTGTATTAAATTACACGAAGCTGCCTTTCCCATGATTACCTCATAAATAGAATGGTCTACAAATTGATCGGTATAAGTTAATATAAAACGTTGTATAAAGCGAATATACTTAAGAGAGACCAGTTCGCACGATTCTGACCAATCCAATTCGAGAGGCTCGTGGAGATCGTTAGCGATAAAAGTATAGGATAATAGGTCGATCTGCAGGGGAGCGAACCGGTGCACCGCGGTGTGGCTAATGTAGCGCGTTGAAGCTCGTGCTAAGGTGGGGAAGTAAAAGCGTCCTCGAGATTCTAGGCGATCGCTTTTCTTTCGTTCTCGAGAAAGAGGAAGCGTGTCGAACGTGGTGGATTTGCACGATTCTAAGCTGAGACCGACGTAACATTTAGCTGTCGACGATTTAGCTGAACTAAGGCATGCGAAACTCGTGATAACTTGTGCTACCATAAACGCACCTCTCTGGGTGGGGCACCA